TGGGCGGGGCCTGCAGCAGCGTGCTTTGGGCGTGGGCGGGGCCTGCAGCAGCGTGCTTTGGGCGTGGGCGGGGCCTGCAGCAGCGTGCTTTGGGTGTGGGCGGGGCCTAGGACTGTACTCAAAAACAAAAACCTCACTGCCTGGAGTCAATCCTAGCTCAAAGCGACCCCCTGTGGGTTTCTGAGACTGTGACTCCAGTAGAATGCCCAGTCTGTTCCGCAGAACTGCTGGCGGTTTCAATCCGCCGACCTTGTGGATCGCACCCCAACGTGTAACCACTGTGCCTGCCACCCGGGCTCCTGGGACAGTGTACCAGGGGCATGAAACCGCTTCTTAAAAACTGCCTTGGGATATTTATAGGTAGTCATAAGTCATGCATTTTCAGTAGTTGCATACGTCACAAGGTGGGTGGTAGCTACAGTGAGGTCCCTGAGCTCACAGGTGAGGAAATCTAATACCTGCGTTGGGGGAAGGTATAAGGGGGGTTGGGTGTCACTGCAGGAAGAGTTAGCAAAAGGATGTCTGCTTCTGTAGGGAGATAGAATCAACCATGTGCTCATGTTAAGGCAGCATAGCTGCTAGGGGAGAATCTGTGGGAACGATATTTAAAGCAGGATAATGCACTTGGACTTTATCTCTAACAACCAATGTGGCGGCTTTCCTACCATGGGATACTAGCTGTCCAGATTCCCTCTGTTATAAGTTAGGGAATATAGTCCTCATCATATTTCCCTCAGTGTTTGTTTCCCACACCCTGTCTCTTGTGTTTTTGAGTTTTGTTGCACAATTTTTCTTCCACTCTATATAGAACCTTCGAATGTGGTTCCTTTCAGGGCAGGTACTACTGGTAGTGATGCACCATCTAGTCTTCAGGTCGGGGCTGTGGAGATGGATGCTTGCATGCTCCGTACTTTGGACTAATTGCTCCCATGCATATGTCATTTTCATTGCTCTTTTTACCTCCCGACAGGGAGAGATCAATAGTTGTACCTTACGTGTTCCTTCACAAGTGTTTAAGACCCCCCAGTTGCTACTCACTAAAGTAAGGTGTAGACCACTCTCTTTCTGGATTATGTTATGCTAGTTGACCTTGGTGTCCCCAAGATTATGATCCTGAAGCTCAAGACCCAGACGAATCTAGAAACTCTTGAGTCTACCAGCAGCTGGAGTCAAGAAAAACCTTCCCTTAGAGCCGACAGGTGAGGCAGAGAGAGGTCATGGCTCTTCCACTGGCCTGAATTTGGACTGCTAGCCTCAGAACTGTAAGAAAATAAGTTTTGTCCTTTAAAGTCACCCACTTTGTGATATCTCCTTCTGACAGCTTTAGGAAACTAAGACACAGATTCATAGCAACCCTGTAGGCAGAGTAGAACTACTCCCTTGGTTTTCCAAGACTATAAATCTTTTTCTTTAATAAATCATTTTATTGGGGGCTCATACAACTCTTATCAAACTCCATCCCTCCATCCATTGTGTCAAACACATTTGTACATTTGTTGCCATCATCATTCTCAAAACATTTGCTTTCTACTTGAGCCCTTGGTATCAGCTCTTCATTTTTCCCCTCCCTCCCCCACCAT